GCGAGAGAACTGCCTGAGCCCAGGGGCTCGAGACCAGGCTGGGCAACATGGTGAGACCTTGTCTCTACAATAAATAAAAGAATTAGGCAGGTGTGGTAGCAGACACCTGTAATTCTGGCTATTTGGAAGGCTGAGGTGGAAGGATCGCCTGAGCCCAGCAGGTCGACGCTGGGGTGGTGGCTGGGAGCCTGCCACTGCACTCCAGCCTGGACAACAGAGGAAGACTCTGACTCAAAAAAGGAAAAAACCCCCAAACCTCCCCTCCTCTTGTTTTTCCATATAACAAGCATCTACTCTTCGACGTATGAACAATTCTAACATGGCTGAACCTTGGGGCCCTCACACGGAGTGTAGCAAGCCAGTCACAAAAGGTGGACACTGTGTGATTCCACTTGCATGAGGCATCTCAAGTCGACACTCACAGCAACAGAAAGCAGAATGGGGGTGCTGGGCGGCGGGATGGCGGCTCTTCAGTGGGTGCGGAGTTCAGGTCTGCACAGTGGGAAAGGTCTGGAGAGCTGTTGCACCCCGGTGTAGAAATGCTTAAGGTGCTCAATTTCATGTCATGTGATTTACTTTAACCACAATTTTAAGAATAAAATAAACTTTTAAAATTAAAAAACAGCCGGGTGTGGTAGCACGCGCCTGTAGTTCCAGCTACTTGGAAGGCTGGGGCGGAAGGGTCGCCGGAGCCCAGCAGGTCGAGGCTGCGGTAGCCGGGAGCGGCCACTGCACTCCAGTCTGGGTGACAGAGCAAGACTCCAACTCAAAAATAAATAAATAAATAAACAATCTTAAGTACCTGCTTTAATTATTTTATTTACATATGAACTATGAATTTTTTTTTTTTGAGTAGGAGTCTCACTCTGTCACCCAGGTTGGAGTGCAGAGGTACGCTCACGGCCACCGCAGCCTCGACCTGCTGGGCTCAGGCGGTTCTTCCACCTTAGCCTTCCAAGCAACTGGAACCACAGGCACGTGCCACCACACCCAGCTAATTTTTATTTTATTTATTTATTGTAGAGATGAGGTCTTGCCAAGTTGCCCAGGCTGGTCTTGAACCCCTGAACCCAGGCAATCTTCTTACCTCCACCTTCTAAAGTGCTAGGATTACAGGTGTGAGATTATTTATTTATTGTAGAGATGAGGACTTGCCAAGTTGCCCAGGCTGGTCTCGAACCCCTGGACCCAGGCAATTCTCTCGTCTCCACCTCCTAAAGTGCTAGGATTACAGGCGTGAGCCACTGAGCTGTTTTTTTTTTTTAAACCAATGCTGGGATATTAAAGTTGTAGGATTTTATTTCCCAACTATAACCTAAAGAAAGAAAAAGAAGCCAGGTGCAGTGGCTCACACCTGTAAACCTAGGACCTTGGAAGGTGGAGGTGAGAGGATTGCCTGAGCCCAGGAATTCAAGACCAGCCCGGGCAACTTGGCGAGACCGCGTTTTCACAATATTAAAAAAATAAAAAAAAAAATGGCAACCCCTTCGGGTCCCTTCCCACTGTGGGAGCTTTTCTGTCCTCTCAATAAATCCTGTTTAAAAAAACAAATAGTGACAGAGTGAGACTCTGACTCAAAAAGAGAGAGAGAGAGAGAGAGAGAGGTGGAAGGTATGTAGGGATGGAGGGAGAAATGGAGGAAGGAGAGAAGGAAAAAGAGGGTTAGACAAAGAAAACAGTGGCATGGAGGGAAGATCTGGAAGGTGAAGCCAAACAGAGAGGACCAGGTGATATCAGTCCTCCTCTTTCTGTCTTCTACCATTTTTGCGGTAAGTTGTTTTATGACACCCCCCAAAAAAGCCAAACTAAAAACATAAACATATAAAAATGAAGCCAATTCTGAAAACATATTTGGTTGAAAGGATTACAAGGCTTGAAAGTAAGCCAGCATGTGGGAGGTGGGATGGGGTGATCACTCTGACGTTCACAGCTGGATCCACAGGCCAGCCTGCGGGGGAGCTAGGGTCGGAACTGGGATGCCGTGCTGCCCCAGTGGGCCAGGCTGGTGGAACCACCAAACATCCGCAGGAACAGCTGGAGGCGAGAAACAGTTGGACAGGAAACACTGAGAGGAGCCACTGCTGCCCACCAGGTTTGCAGCTCTGGGGCAGGGCCCTCTGCACAGAGGCAGCTGGGGAAGCGGTGCAGGTGCAGACGCAGGTGCAGGAAGGCCTCAGACAGCGATCGAGAAGGTGGGCTCGGGCCTGGCGGGCGATGGGGAGTCAATGAAGGTTTCGAGCAGAGTGCCGGAGTTCCAGAAGCTGACTTTGACCATGAGTGGACCTGTCTCTGCTGGTCCCATCGGAGGAGGTGAGAGTTTGAGAAGCCTCCCACCCCCCAAAGGCAACCAACACCCTCTTGGTGCCCTCCTGCCGATCTCCCTTCATGCCCACTGGTGTGGGCCACATCCCCATATGCCCATACCCATGTAGGGCTTTAGGACCCCATGTCAGGACTTTGCAAGGAGTCCCTCTACCTCCAGCACCCCCCGGCCACCACCAGCGTGTCTACCTGGCCCTGGGGCCCTGCCTATCCCGCAGTGGTCGCACCTGGCTTCTCCAAGCAAGAAGGACCAGGGCTGTGCCCCCTCAGGCTGGCATTCGTGGCCTTGTGCCATCTGGCCCCGAGCAGTCTCATTTCTTGCTGCTGACGCCCACCGTGGCCTCATGGATTCCACCACTAGGCTTCCACTGGGGCCAGTCCTCCGGTCTGGCCCGCCCGCCCTCCCTCATCAATTGAGCCTGATACAGTGCCTGGCATGTGGCTGCCTTTTTTTTTTTTGAGTGGGGGTCTCACTGTCCCTCAGGCTGGAGTAGTGCAGGGGCACATTCACAGCTCACCACGGCCTCGACCTGCTAGGCTCAGGGAATCCTCCTGCCTCAGCCTCCTGAGCAGTTGGGACCACAGCTAATTTAAAAAAAAATTGTAGAAACAAGGTCTCGCTATGTTGCCCAGGCTGGTCTTGAACTCCTGGGCTCAAGCAATGCTCCTGCCTCGACCTCCCAAGTGCTGGGATGACAGGCGTGAACAACGGCACCCAGCTGTGGCTGCCTGTGTGAATCACAGAGGCACATGCAAGGTGCTGTTCACGCCTCCCACCCTGGTGGTCCGCCATCCCAGCTGGCCCCACTCCCAGGAGAGCTCTTTCCTGTCCTCAGCAGCCCGCCTGCCCTGGTCTCACACAGGCGGCCTTTGTTTGGCCCTGCTCCCAAGGGCATCTTATCTGCCTAAACAGGTTGTAATCTCCAGAGTCAGGACCCTTGTCTCCCGCCAACCTGCAGTAAACAGCCCTTTTGTGGAGAGGCTGGCGGCCACTCAGAGGCCACCCGCTCACGCGCCCCTGCGAGGGCTGCAGCCCCGCCGGCCTCCCTCTCGCTGCGCTTGGCACGACAAGTCAGCTCCCGGCACAGCGGGCCCCAGCACAGCGGGCCCCGGCCCTCACGCCCGGCCAGACCCTGGCTCTGTGGCAGGGATGCCAGTGCCCGCGCCCCTTCCCCACCCCTGCCAGGACCCTTCCTTCCCCCAACTTCTGCAGGCATTCTTCTTAGTGGGGCCCTCCCCTCCCTAGAATCTGAGCTCCCCAGGGCCTGATTGCTGTTGGCCCGGGAGGGCAGGGGGCTCTGCGAGGTGACGCAGTGAAGCCGCTTGTCCAAGGTCACAGAGGCAGGGCGTGGAGGTGGGGGCTGGAGGCAGGAAAAGCCTGGTGGGCTTGGCTCCGCGCCCTCACTCCAAGGGCCCTCAGTCTTCACCCAAACTGCACAGCAGGGGAGGGGCTCATCCAAGGACACTCAGGACACCGGTCATTCACTGGCTGAAAAGGCTGACGACTGTTTTACCGTGAGCTCCAGCCAGAGGACACACAGCGCTGGACCAGAGGGCTGGGCCCAACCCAGGAGACACAGGGCACGAAGTGGAGCTTAGGTGTGTTTATTCCTGTACAAATCATTACAAAACCAAGTCTGGGGCTGCCGCCCCCCACCCATCACCCCAGTGTGCAATGGCTCGCCGCTGGCCTCGTCCGCCTGGCCCTCCCGCCCACAGCCTCCTCCAGGAAGCCCTGCCCTCCCATGCTCCAGAAGAGCAGGGGACAATCACACCCACTGAGGCCCAGCCTTAATAAAGTGCCTACAGGGAGCCGGGAGACAGAAACTCAGCGACACAGCTCCGGCTCCCTACAGCCTTCCCAGGCCGGCTCCAGTGTGGTTGGGTCTCCCTCTCTGGCCCCAAAGCACATCCAGCCGGTGGAGAGCCTCCCATCAGAGGGCAGAAAAGGAGGCCTGATCCTGGAGGAGCCAAGCCCTTGGCAGCTGGGCGGAGAGGCTAACAAAGCAGCTCAGGGGTGTCCCCCGACCCTAGGGGAGTCTGCACAAAGCACCCTAGTTCTCTAGGAGGTGAGGAAGGGCGCCCCAGACTCCCAGGGAGCTGAGCCTCCAGGCAAGGGACAGTGGCCAGGAATCTGGCCTCAAAGAGAGCAGACCCAAGGGTGGCCAGAGAGAGAGGCGGGGAGGCAGGAAAGGGTCTCCGACTCCACTCTAGAACCCGATATGGGGAGGAGGCGGGGGGGGGCTTGTCCAAGGTCACGCAGGGCAGGGACAAGACCCTGGCACCAGCTGGCACCAGCCTCCCCACGATCTCCAGCCACCCCCCAGATGTTTGGGCCAGGCCTCCAGAGACGGCTGCCCCATTCGAGCTCTCTTTCTGCGCTGGGAACTGAGGGGACACCACCACTTTCTGCGCTGGGAGCTGAGGGGGCACACCAGCGCCTTGGGGCAGGACCCCACTGTCCCTGCCAAGTAGGAAGCGATTGGGGCTCGTTCTTGGGGCTCTGAACCCAGGCCTCATGAGAAAGGACACGTCCTTGGCCTCAGACTGACTCCGAAGTACCCCAGACCCTGACTGACTACGCTCAGACCCTGACTGGACGAGAAAGACACCCCTGATCAAGCATACAGACTCCCACATCCCTGATCGGCCAAGAAATGCCCCAAGCCCGGCCTGGCGAAGGACAACCCTCCTCGGGCCCTGACTGGCTGGGAGGCACTCCATCCGGCCCTGATTGGCCAGGAGACGGCCAGGGCGGGGCGGAGAGCCCCCGCGTGTCCCCCGAGGTCCCACAGGCGGGCCGGCCTAGGTCCAGGAGGGGTGGGAGAAGGTGATGCCGTACAGCTGCGCCCAAGACGAGAAGACCCTCTTCTCCGTGATGAAGCGGTGGTGGTTGCCCTTGCGGCTGTGCTCGTTCTGGATGTAGGTGACACACTCGTCCGGCCCCTTGGGCTCGTAGTAGTGGTAGGGCGTGCGCCGCAGGCGGGGCCGCTGGCTGGGGCAGAGCAGACGGGGCTCGTCAGGCCAGGGCGGGCATGGGCAGGGCCCGTGCCCTTTCGGCGCCTCGCCCGCCGCGGGCCTCAGTGGGGACATCCCTGCCCTCTCTGGGCCTCAGTGTCCCCGTCTGCAAAACAGGTGTGGGGTGGACTTGGCTGGCGACCATCCAGCTTTTTTCCCCGAGTCATGGTCTCACTGTCACCCAGGCTGGAGTGCAGTGGCACAATCACAGCTCACCACCGCCTTGACCTTCTGGGCTCAGGCAGTCCTCTCTCCTCGGCCTCCCAAGTAGCTGCGACCGCAGGAGTGTGCCACCACCTCTGGCTATTTTGTAGAGAGGTTTTGCTATGCCACTCAGGCTGGTCTCGAACTCCTGGGCTCAAGCAATCTTCCTGCCTCAGCCTCCCAGAGTGCTGGGATTACAGGTGTGAGCCATCACACCCGGCCCAACTTGTTTTTCTTTTCTTTTTTTTAAATACAGTGGCACCTTTTCCCTTCCCCAAGAGGGCAGCAGTGCAGAGCAGTGGCCAGGACTGTAGGCTCTGGAGCTGGCCCCTCCTTCTACTGTCTTAGGCTGTTTTAAGAACTTAGGCTGCTCATAAAACACCCCCTCCGTGTTTCTCATCTCCCCGCAAAGGCACACCCAGCCAGGGCCTGGTCTTGTCCTGGGAGGGCGCTGGCGAGGAGGCTCACCTGCAGTAGTTGGGGGGAATCATGCCGTAGACGTGCACGTGGTCACACAACTCCACTGCAATCACCATGGTGAACCAGCCAGTGCTCAGCCACGAATGGGACTTTTCCCTGAGGGCAGAGGGGGGTCATGAGGAAAGGCAGGGGTGGAGGCAGGTGGACAGGAACGGCCGCCCCCGCAGGGTGCCCGGAACTCCTCCCACCCGGCCATGGGGCCCCGGCCTCGGCCACCCCATCCAGCCCCACGGTGGGGGCGTGGCCGGTGGCGGAGGGCTGCCCAGACAGAGCAGAGGGTGTGGAGGGGGCACCTTGGAGGGCAAGAGGGAGCAGAGCATGCTGGGGGCAGGCTCTGGGGAAGACGGTCACAGCTGGGCAGGCTGGGCGTGACTATGACCGCAGAGCATGCCAGAAGCTGCTGTGCCCGTGCTAGAAGCAAACTCCCACGGGGGCCCATCGGAGACGGTCACACTGGAGGACTGTGGCTCAGAGCAAGGCCAGGAGGGGCAGCTCAGGCCTCGGGCTGTGCAGCCACCGCAGGTTACCAGCCACGTGTGGTTACCAAGCACTGGACACATGGTTGAGACATGCAAATATGCACTGGGTTGCTTAGACAGCATGAAAAAAAGGGCTGGGCGTGGTGGCTCATGCCTGTTATCCCAGCACTTTGGGAGGCCAAAGTGGGAGGATTGCTTGAGCCCAGGAGTTCGAGACCAGCCTGGTCAACATAAAAAGAACTCATCTCTACAAAAGAGAGCCAATCAAAAAATTAGCTGGACATGGTGGCGTACACCTGAAGTCCAGCTGCTCAGGAGGCTGGGGCAGAAGGCTCACCTGAGCCCAGGAAGTCAAAGCTGTGGTGAGCTTTGACTGTGCCACTGCACTCGAGCCTGAGTGACAGAGGGACCTGGACCCAAAAAACAAACAAAAAGAGAAAAAGAATGTAGGATATGTCATTGATAATATTTTGATACTGATCGCATATCAAACTGCAAACATTCTGCACATATCTGGTAGAAGGTAGTTCTTTGAAATTTGTTTTTGAGTCGGAATCTCACTGTCACCCAGGCTGGAGAGCAGTGGCACGCTCACAGCCACTGCAGACTCAGCCTGCTAGCCTCAGGTGATCCTTCTACCTCAGCCTTCCAAGTAGCTGGAACTATAGGCACACGCCGCCACGCCCGGCTAATTTTTGATTAATTGATCCCTGGGCTCAGGTAGTCCTCTCGCCTCTGCCTCCCAAAGTGCTGGGATGACAGGTGTGAGCCACCATGCCCAGCTGAAAAGATTTTTAAGAATAAACCTCTAGCAAGACCAACAAAGAAAAAGAGAGAGAAGACACAAATCACCAAGAATAAAAGAGAGGAAATCATCACAGGTCCTGTAGACATTAAAAGGCTAATAAGAAAACTCCACGAATAACCACATACATTCATTTGACAACTTACATGATATGGACCAATTCATTAAAATCTACAAACTACCAAAACTCACTCAAGATGAAACAGATAACTCGAATATCCTATAACTATCAAAGAAATTGAAGCTATAACTTAAAACCTTCTGAAAAAGAACTCTCCAAGCCCAGATAGTTTCACTAGCAAGTTCTGCCAGACATTTAAAGAGAAATAACTTCAATGCATACAATCTCTACCAGAAAGTACAAGAGGGAACATTTCTCAATTCATTTTCTGAGGCCAGCATAACTCTGATGCCAAACCAGGCAAGACAGTAAAAACAAATCATCACCTCTCATAAACACAGACACAAAATCTCAACAAAATATTAGCAAATCATATCCATATATATGGTGGGAGGTGGTGTTTTGAAAAGGTTTTTAGAAAATAAACCTCTAGCAAGACCGGCAAAGAAAAAGAACTGGAATAAACCTCTAGCAAGACATATCTATGTACATGTAATATATACAATCACAACCACGTAGAGCTGATTCAATGTCCCCAAATCAGCCGATATCCACCATATCATGAGTCTTAAGAAAAACTACATGATCATATCAATTGCTGCAGAAAAGCAGTTGATAAAATTCCATTTCCAGTATTGATAAAAATTCTCAGCCAATTAGCAAGATAAGGGAACTTCCTCAACCTGACAAATGGTAGCTACAAAAAACCTACAGCTAACATCATATTTGATGATGAAAGACTGAATACTTTCTCCTTAAGACTAGGACCAGGGCAAGGATGTCTGCTCACCACTTTCAACACAATTCAGCATCGTACTCAAAATCCTAACCCATGCGATGAAACAAGAAAAAGAAATAAGAGGCAGATTGGAAAGGAATGAAACTGTCCTAATCTGCATACAAATGATTATCCACCTAGAAATCCAAAAGAATCTACAAAAATCTCCTGGAACAATTAAGTGGGTTTAGCAGAGTTACAGGATACAAGGTCAACACACAAAAATCAATTTCTATAAACTGTTTCTATATATTAGCAGTGAATCACTGGGAACCAAAAAAGTTTTTTAATGCCATTGTAATGGCTCCAAAGATTTTTGAATGTTTAGATATAAATCTCACAAAATATGTATAAGAGCTATATGTCAAATATTTTGGATCAAATAAAATAATATTAAAGTTAATTTCACTACCTTTTTTCTTTTAAAGACAGGGTCTCTCTCTGTCGCTTGGTCTGGAGTGCAGTGGCACAATCATAGCTCACTGCAGCCTCTGGCTCCTGGGCTCAAGTGATCCTCCCCCCTCAGCCTCCTGAGTAACTGGCACTACGGGTGCACAACACCATGCCCAGCTCATTTTTTTTTTAGGAGCTGTGACTCACTGTGTTGCCCAGGCTGATCTCAACCTCCTGGCCTCAAGTGATCTTTCTGCCTCAGCCTCCCAAATAGCTGGAGTTACAGACATAAGCCTCGACGTCCAGCTGCTTACTACTTTTGAAATGTGACTACTACAAAAATTTAAATTACATACGAGGCTCACATTCTATTTCTTTTTTTTTTTTTGAGTTGAAGTCTCACTCTGTCGCTCAGACTGGAGTGCAGTGGCCGCTCCCCACCACCGCAGCCTCGACCCGCTGGGCTCCGGCAATCCTTCCGCCTCAGCCTTCCAAGTAGCCGGAATTACAGGCGCACGCTACCCTGCCCGGCTGATTTTTTGATTTATTGTAAAGATGAGGTCTCGCTGCCCAGGCGGGTCTCGAACCCGCGGGCTCAGGCAATTCACTCACCTCAGCCTCCCAAAGCGCGGGATTACAGGCTGAGCTACCGAGCCTGACTACATTCTATTTCTTTTGAGCAGCACTGGCCTTGCTTTCTAGGGCGATTAGTCACAGCAGGGCATGCTGGGAATGAGGTATCCCTAGAACAGAGCATACTGGATGCGGCATGTGCTTAAAGCGAAACATGCTGGGAATAGTCAAGACTTCATATCGGGCGTGCTACAGGGTGCTTCTCTCAGAAAGACGCTAGGAGGGCCAGTGCAACCTTGGAGCAGAGCGTGCCGGGAGTGCTCTCGTGCCCTCAGTGCGTGCTGGGAGGAAGCCCTTCTGGGGAGACCAGGCCACGCACAACGTGTTGGAAACGCCCCATGTTAACAGCTGGACACAAAGAACTCCCGTGGGAAACCTGACCAGAGACTGGCAAGGAGGGGCCACACCCTGAGAGCAGTGCATGCTGGGAGCAACAGGCCCCCTGGGCTGGGAAGTGCCGAGAGGGAGCGCAGGGCTGGCCAGAAGTGGTCGGCGGGAGGCTGGTACCTGTCCTTGCCTGTCTCACCCCGGAAGAGGTCGTCAAATTGGCGCATGCGGGTGGGAGAGATGGCGTAGGCCTCCAGGTTGGGGAAGGCCAGGCCTGCCCGCTGGATGACGCGCACGAGGCTGCCCTGAGGCTTCTGCATCTTGTTCGGGGGGCCCCAGAAGATGAACACGGTCTCGGGGGTCCGGTTGACGAATTCCTGGGGCCTCCTCAGCACCCGGAACACGCTGGAATGGGCCACCACGCGGAACGTGGTCTTATTGCCCACGTCGGCCGAGTAGCCTGTGGTGGGAGCATCGTTCATGCGGATGGTACACTCTGCCCGCTCGATCTCGGGGCCGAGCTTGGTGCCCAGCAGGTGGCTGGAGCTGCTGACAATCACACACTGGTGGCAGCGGGAAGGCAGCGTCTAGGGGGCAAGGAAAGGTGACACTACCGTGGCCGCTCTGTGCCGGGCCCTGTGCTCCACACATTCGGGGCTCCTGGAGTCACAGACTATTAGGTTCTTTTTTTTTTTTTTTTGAGTCGGAGTCTCACTCTTTCGCCCAGGCTGGAGGGCAGTGGCATGCTCCCGGCCACCGCAGCCTCAACTTGCTGGGCTCAGGCAGTCCTTCTGCCTCAGCCTTCCAAGTCGCTAGAACTACAGACGCACACCACCATGCCCAACTAGTTTTTGTGATTTAGTGTAGAGATGAAGTCTCACTAAGTTGCCCAGGCTGGTCTAGAACTCCTGGACTCACCTCCTAAAATGCTGGGATTAGAGGCGTGAGCCACGGCATCCAATTTATGTGCATTTTAACGACAGGGAGACTGAAGCCCATGCATTCAACGTTCAGTTCATATTTAGAGCAAGCTGGCTAACAGCCAAGAACTGAGCAATGAGCAAAACAGGGCTGGCCCAGCCTTCAGGAAGCTTGCAAATGGGGAGACAGACAGGAACAGTAAGTAACACGCCAGGAAAAACAAACGGGGGCAGGTGACTAAGAGCGACTGGAGTGGGGCTCCTTTGGCAAGGTGGTCCAGGGAGGCCTGAGCTGAGGCAGAGCTGGGCTGAGACCCAAAGGATGAGAAGCGCCCACCTAGGGAAACGCATCGAGGCCGGAGAAGTAGCTAACATGAGGCTCGAGATGGGGCCACTGCGGGGGTGTGGAAAGCCAAAGAGGCCGCTCAGGGGGACAGAGTCAGCCAGCGGGGGAGAGAAGCTTACGTGGCCGAGAAGTGCAGTGCCAGGCCTTGAGCCCAGGGGCCACAGCTCCCCGGCCCTCCCAAAAGGACATCTCCCCGAATGCACCCGCGACATTTCCTCACCACATGGAAACACCAGCGTGCTAATAGGGAGGGTGTGAGAGCCACTCTGGGTGACATGAACAGATTGGAACCACATGCTCTCCGGGATCTATTTTTTGCCTGTGGGATTCCCATCCACCCTTCCAGGCTAAGCTCAAACGCCACCTCTCCGAGCCAGCCTTCCCAGAGCCCTTACTCCGAGATCCAGCAGCACATCCCACTCAACGGACGGTTCTTCCCACGTTCCTGTGCTCTGGTTTTGTGGCTTCCCCATCAGGCTGGAAGCACAACCCAGGCTCTGCCTGCTCCCCGTCCACATCACCCACATTCAAGCGGTCCCACTTTTATTCCTCTTTCAAGGGTTCTTAGGTGGCCAGGCGTGGTGGCCATGCCTGTCCTCCCAGCACTCTGAGAGGCCGAGGCAGGAGGGCCGTGTGAGCCCAGCAGTTCAACACCAGCCTGGGCAAAAGAGCGAGGCCTTGTCTCTACAAAAAAATCAAAAAGCGAGCCAGGTGTGGTGCTGTGCACCTTAGTCCCAGTTACTCTGGAGGCTGAGGAGGGAGGATGGCCTCAGCCCGGGAGGTCGAAGCTGTGGCAAGCCACGATGGTGCCACTGCACTCCCGCCTGGGCAACGGAGTCAGACCCTGACTCAAAAAACAATTTTTTTTAACGAAGGGCTCTTGGGAGAGAACGACCCCACCAGGTGCTCATCCATTCCCAAACAGCCGCTAAACGGGCCCTTCCCCGGGGCGGGTCGTCCATGGCCTGGGCGCTACTGTGTCCACGAAGGCCTGGAGCATGCACAAGAGTCCGTGAGGAAGGACCCGTGGGTCCCCGAGGCGAACAGAAGTCAGCCGGGAATGACCTTTGGCCTCTCTATGCAGCTGCAACTTAGCAGGGGTTGGGAAGATGCCCGTCTCCTTCCTCCCTTGCTGTGTGGCCTTGGGCGAGTGGCTTCAACTCTCTGAGCCTTGGTACCCCGACTCCTCAAGGGAGACGACCATGCTGCCCTCGCAAGATCTGTCTGAGGATCCCTGGTGGCCACAGTGCCTGGCACACAGCGGGCTCTCGATAAAAGGCAGCCACTGCACTTCCGCTTTTGTGTGATCCGGCACCCCACGGCCTGCTGCTGAACCCGTGGGGACGCCCCAGGGAGACGGCTGTGAAGGCCAGAGACCCGTCTCCCAAGGGACTCCGACTCCGGACACCGGGGGATCGCCAGGCTCAGGGTGGGGCCTTGGCGAGAACTGCGGCCCAGAGAGGGCCGGGCACGCCTCCGAGCAAGCAGGGTCGCCTGCGAGGAAAGGGCTTCCATCCCTGGAGGCCGTGGCCTTGACCCCAGGGGGACGGCGCAGCGGAGAGGAGGA